AAGAACAATTGGAGCGGGTATGACAACCTTTAGTGATCAATTGGAGTCAAGAGTCAGAGGAGATTGTTGCACACTGCCGGAAGGGAACAAGATAGCAATAAATTCTGTGGAACCTCAATATTTTTGTGATGCTGCATCGCTGTCATCTTTGCCCACCACCAAGTTACATTAAATGCTTCTGATTCTATCATGGCCAAGGAAGCATACGAGCGATGGTGTCTGAACATGGGGTGTGTGGTTCAATCATATCACACTGACAATGGCATCTACAAAAGCCAAGCATATGTCCAACATCTTAGGGACCACCATCAATCAATTAAATATTCTGCGACCGGGCCAAATGGCAGAATGGGTTTCTGAGGGAGCCATTAGAATGTAGTAACCAAAGCTAGAACAATGATGATCCATGCTGCACTTCTATTGGCCGGAAGTTGATGATGAATCCCTGGCCCTTGGCAGTCTCTCAGCAGCCACCTTTACAACCACACTCCGAATTCAGTTACTGGCATTGCTCCCATTGAGATATTTTCCAGAACTGTCAGTGATGGTCAGTCATCAGAAATGCCCATCCATGGGATGCCCTGCATATGTTTTGAACCCCGGCTTACCAGTAAGGAGGAAAATTCCAAAATGGCAGCCCAGGTCCAGGAAGGACAATATGTTGGCACCTCACCTGTCATTCAGAAAATATTGGCTTGATCCGCAACCTTACAACCGGATACCTTTCCCCTCAGTACCATCTTGTCTAATGATTGGTTTGAGACAGTTTACTCTCAGAAGATCAACCACCTCTAGAGTGGACCAACATGTGCATCTTCCAACGCTTCGAGACCCTATTTGATGAGGACACTCCACCTCCCTTAGCAGACGATGGCTTACTCCAGAGGAAAAGGCCATCAACCAGCACCGATCTCATCTTCAGAAGCTTCGACATGGAGAAAATTATGGCAGGATGACAAGAGCAAAGTAAAAGGGATGATCTTCATTTTCAAGCTCCGTCTCAGCACAGCCCCAGGTTTCACACAGGGAGATTCCAGATCGTCTGCCACCACTTCAGACTCAAAATTACCCTCTTCTTGGACAGGGAGCCTCCCACCATCAGCACTCCCACCACTGATGTCACATGAGCCAATCTCTGCCCCTCGTCGTAATCCCAGTAGAACAGCCCACAGCAAGAAGCCTGAGACTCTGAACATGGACCCAAAGTTGAGACATATGCGCGTCCTTCATCCCTGTTGAGTTGTGCTTTAGTTTGACCTTTGGAGTTACTCCAATTCTGGGCACATGATGCAATTCAGTGAATGGTTATTCCACCTTTGACCAACACCCAGGAATCATTTCATCCTGGCATTCTTCAAAGCCCACTGGCTCTCAAGGCCAAAATTTCCAAAGACCCTGATCTCCCCTCTCTGAAAGAATCTCTGATGGGACCACATGCAGACCATTTCTGGGCACATGGACAAAGAAATTGCCAGCCTTGAAGGCAAAGGGACTTGGCACATCGACAGCGTTCTTCTATGCCCTCACACCTAAAGGCGGTTCCTGGAACATGGTGCAACGAATTAAGAGGTTACCAGACGGACAATTAAATAGTTCAAATCTAGATGGTGCTGCAGAGAGACCTTCAGTCCTATGAAGGCGTCGCGTACTCTCCACTTGTTGGTTGGCCCACCGTTAGAGGCCGGTCTTCTTCTTGCAGCTGCACATGGATGGAATCGAGACAAGTTGATTTTACTCTTGCTTTCTGTCAAAGCCCTCAGCCTGTCGACCAGCCACTGTACATGGAATTGCCTCAGTACTATCGACCCAAAGGCTATGAAGGACAGGACTGTGTTTTGAAACTTGACAAGTCCATCTATGGGCAGACCGATTCACCTAAATTATTCTATGAGCATCTATGTCGCGGGATGATCCAACTTGGTTTCGAAACCTCGGCAGCAGACCCATGTTTGTTTATTCATAAGGAGCATCAACTCATGGTATTAAATATTGTGATGACCAAATCTGGCTCAGTCCAGACAATGATCTGATTGAGTCCTTGTTGGGCAGCTCCAGAAACTGGATATGACCTCACCATGGAAGAAAAAGGTGACATCTTTGGATTCCTCGGCATTAATTTTGAAAACAGGGAGACAATGTTGAGCTTACTCAAAAAGGGCTCATCAATAAAGTCATCGAATATACTGGTATGTCTGACGCTAGCAAGAAGCTTTCTCCTGCCGCCACCGATCCTCTCGGAGCTGACAAACTGGGGGCCCCATTTGAAGAAGAGTGGAGCTATCCAGCTGCAGTTGGGATGCTTCTTTATATTGCGTCGAACACTCGCCCAGACATCACATTTAGTGTGCACCAGGTCACGATTCAGTCACAATCCAGGCATTCCCATGCTCAAGCAATCAAACTATCATTCGGTATCTGATTGGCACAAGTGACAAAGGCATTTGTTTTAGCCCTAAACTTGATCAGGACTTGACGTTGGGTCGATGCTGACTTGCCGGATTGTATGGATATGAGGATGAACAGGATCCTGTGTCCGTCAAGTCTCGCACTGGATTTGTCCTGACTCTGTTTGGGTGCCCTATTATCTGGTCCAGCAAGCTACAGACTGATATTACTTTGAGCTCCACTGCTGCTGAGTATGTTGCCTTCAGCATGTCAATGAGGGAGCTGCTCCTATGCGAGCTTTGCTCAAAGAAATTGGTAGCAAACTGAATATGCCGGTAATTACTGACAGTCTGTGCGCTCTACAGTGTTCGAAGACAACCAAGGTTGCCTGTCTCTTGTGAATGTTCCCAAAATGTCTGCGCGCAACAAGTATTTGGCATTGAAGTACCACTCTTCAGGTCCAATATCGGGAGTCGAAGGGCATCTTGCTAAGTATATTCCGACTTGGAACAACGGGCCACATTTTCACTAGGGTCTTCCGGCTCCACATTTGCTGTCATTCGGAAGCTCCTCATGGGATGGTAATTTACCTCAGCATTTGCTGGGGACTCTCTCCTATCGTTTCTTGCTCAGCTTCATTTCAGCTGTAAGGGGAGTGCGACGGGATACAGCTTACAATATCAGCTTTACAGCTTTACAATTAGCAGGCTTATTCTAGAAATAATCAATAACTGCTCACTTATTTGGAAATACAAACTTTACATCTCTTAGATCCTTAGACTAGTCAATGCACAATGGTATTGTCGCAGCCTTCTGCCATTGCTATTGCAACTCCCGCCTTCAGCGCATGCAGGAAACGCATGAACAGCTGAAACTTGGTTGGGAGCGGATTGTCGTCTGACGGAGCGAGATCCCATAACGTGTTCGAAAATCCGTCATGGTGCGGACTCGATCCCTTTGCTGTGGACTCTTGGTCCTCATCTGACCAGCTCGAATGGGTACCGCCCTTGGTCTGGTCCTGCAGGACTCTGGCTGATTGATCGATTGCTAGCTCATTGAGTGATATGAGCAGCCCCACTGTCTGTGTGGCTCGCACAACGACGTTCCTTACGGCCATTGATGCGTCATTGAGGGACTTCGCCAATCTCCGAGTAATCGGTTTCCATCCCCTCTTCCTCTTTGGAACGTACGCCCTGTTTTGCGGAACGTCCATGGCCCACGACAGCAGGCACTTCATTGGGATGAAGAATGTCAGGAAGTGTGTCCCAAGATCTGTGAGTGCGATAGCATCCACCATGGCAACGATCGTGCCTGTCAGCAATAGCTGGCCAACCTGATACATCAGTTGGAGGGGATGAACAAACAAGGTGGCGTAGACGATTGACGCCATCCAGTGTCTGTTGAAGATGATGGCCCATTCGATCACGGAGCTTACGTTGCAGGCCGTCAGGATCATCATCATTTGGAGTACATGTGCCTCTTCAGCGGCTCTATCGATTGATTCCTCGAGTCGCAGAAGGGCGTGTCTTGTTGTTGTTGCGGCTTGACTGAGTGAGGCGAAAGCCTGGGCCGCGAATTGTCCTAGGAGCAGAGTGTTGTACACGCACGTAACAAGAAAGTGATCACTATAGTGATTACAGTAAGCTACTATTGTGGGCGACGCGACTCTACTCCAGGGCCATCAGGGGTTGTCATCAACCGTTGCCGTTCCGACGTCTTCGATGGCTCCAGCAAGCGCAGCTTCGGTCGCATCGCCCTGGCCAGCTGCCGCCTCAGCGGCTTTGGCTTCCTTCATCTTGGTGCAGCCGGTTCGGTGATTGACTCCTTTGTCATTAACCTCGAGCACCCACTTGGTCGTGTCATGGTACGGGCAGTACACGTAAGCTTTGCCATTGACAGTCTTCTCCTGTGCCTCGCCTTGCTTTGGTGCAACCAGCTTCCAAGCAAACTTGTCGCCCTGACCCTTTTGGTCCTTCCTTGGAGTCGCCTTGCTGGGAGTGCCACTTGTCTGCTTCGAAGCTGTGAGACTCACTACCTGTGCCTTGAGGGCAATGATTTCCAGCTGCTCCTCGGTCTTCTGCAGCCATTGGTTCTTGTCGACAAGAACCTTGTACCTTTCAAGAGCCACCTTCATGAGCGCCGGGTATTGAAGCTGAATAGTCCCATCTTCATATGCTTCTTGCTTCATGTAGATGTACCGGGCGAACTTGGGGTCGGCACAGTTCGAATATCCTTCGAATAGGTTCTCCATCATGGGTGGAGTGGTGACGCTCCTAGCGTCCAGTTGTGCAACTAGATCATCCACGATGGTGTTGAACTCTTCGACATTGGACTTGCACTTCTCCATGAGGACGTCCAAGTTGTTGAGTTTCTTCAAAATGATTGATACAGTGGCCTTGGTCTCGACTGATACCATCTTGATCAGCTCGTAAAGCATGCAAGTGCCATCCTGTATCATGATGGGAGCTGGTGCTGCCACTCCAGGTGCCACCGCCGCAGCAGTGTTGACTGTGTACTTTTCTTCTCTTGACGAGAGCCTGTTGGCCAGTTTTGGCGTGATGGATCCGAGGAGGAGTTTCCTGAGGCACGACGACGCTTGATGTTCTCTCTGTTGCAACCGGAGGTATGCTATGGCATGGGCTTGGACATCTTCCAGCACGAGACATCCGTGCTGAACTGTCAGATTACGGGGAGTAGCTGATGCGTCGGCGACAACTAAGATCGCGGTCCATCCGTACGATTCGGCTCTCTGCCAAATCTTCCTGAGAAAGTCTCTCAATCCAGGTAAGTTGCCGTCGTATGGCAGTGTGAAGGGAGCCGTAGACGCAATGAAGATCTTGATGCCTGTTGAGGACGTAAAGTCCCATGCGTTGTTGCCAGCTCCAGCTGGATTCACCGCGAATGGAGCCTGAGGTACGACAACTGCTGGTGGGCGAATGGCATCGAGCACGTTCTGGTCTTGCAATGCTGCAGCCACCGCTGCCTGAACGGCTGCCTCCACCATGGTGCGAATCTGTTGAGCATCCATGATTGGTAGTTCTCGTCGGGCTTGTTGCCTTGCTATCCGTCTTTGCAGTCGCCTCCTGGCTCCTTGGAAGATATGCTCTTCTTGCCTTTCAGCTTGCGCTCTCCTTTCAGCTCTCTCTTGCCTGTTGGGGAGCTGATCTCGATCTTCTTCGATGTCCGAATCAGAAATCTTGGTGAGTTTCCTTCAATATATTGAAGGAAGTGGTGTAGCCTCAATGCGAAAGAAGTGAGGTTACGGTGGTCGACAGTCCACAAAATTTGCCTCGAGGTGCTCCGTGCTCAATTACGACAGTAAGTGACAGGAGTTGCTCGAAGTATGCAGCATGCGCAGAGGAAGCGTGAGGGTTTTTGCTACAAATTGTGATTACAATACTTTGCTTATACTATCTAACTCCTCAACTGCTCTGCTTCAACATTTCATTTGAACAGTTGAGCTTACTATTTCCTTGCAGGAATGGAAGCAGGCTGATCATTCAGGTTGTTCAGGATATCAATATCCCTCACAATCTCACAGTTCATGCTCATCATGTCTGCTTTAAACGTGGCGCCCGGAATCTCAGAAGCTTCCTGTTCGGTAACCTGTTCCACACGATGAGATGCCAGCCCGTAAAATCATGCCTGGCGGGTGAGGCCTTTGTCTGTGGTAGGATCTGGAAATGGGACAGTGGGCTCTGGTAAACACTTGGCAAGTCTCGTTTCGTCCAGCATCGGTTGCACTTCTTCTTCGGCAATGGGCACGATTCTGTCGTCGATTGGGAGAACTTTCTGAGTGAATGTCAGTGCAGCCCATTGGAGTACGGGGAAACTGCCACAAGATGTATCCTTTTCCAGATTCTCAAACGATGTGTCGCCGGTTTGAAGCGTAGTGGTCTTCTTTGGACCGGCGTCGCCTGGTTGAGACAGCATATCGGCCGTGACGGGTTGGGGAGACAACAGAGGAGGAATCAATGTCGTTATCATGAAGGTTGTCCACCTACCGGCATGTTTCCAACAGAGAATGAAATCGTAAGGACTCCGATGATAAAAGGCATCTTATTCAGAAATCTGCAAGCAACTTACTCGTCCATATCATCCTTGTAATAGCTCACCTCCTCATTCTTTTGCTTTGACATCATCGGCGGCAGAGGGGGTGGTGGAATTTTTGGTAGAGCTGGTGGCATGGCAGCAACTTCTTCGGCAATAAATTGTGGCAGCTTGTCTGGCAATAATGGCAGCAGGTGGTTGTTTTTGTGGCTTCAGCAAGTGGATTCGATTCGATTCTCCTATTGCAATGTGTTACAGAACTGTACATGTATTGTGCTCCTTTGATTAGATACTGTACCACAGCTCTAGTACATCGTTCGATTTGGGTAGCCCCACGGGAACTGGCACACTTGAACTGGCACACTTCGATTTTCGCGATCATGCATGAAGCTTCAAGGAATGAATGGATCTTGTTCGAAATCCCGAGGAACATCTTCGAGCATCTATCCCTTTTCACAACCGTGAAACCAACTCCATTTCCGTGAACATGTATGTAACATTTTCATGTTTCCATTGGATGGGCTTCAGGACCTTGTGTGCACCTTGCATCTAATAACCGTGTCCAACTCAACACACCGCATCCCCAGTCCCCAGCTGATTTCTCAACACATCAGCATTGCCCTTGCTCCAGCAGGTGCAATGTGCCTCCAAGCGCGTCCCTGCTACCGGTACCGGCTACCAGTACTACATTGAGCCAAAGAGTTGAATTGAATCGAATCATTCAATCAAACGCGCTCGGTAAGGGGCTGTTGGCGAGCTCTCGGGATGATGAAGAAGTGCCGGTATTGCTTACCACGCCGTGGCGGAGTCGAGTCTGATCTAGGACACTGCAGCAGCAAAAAGGAAAGTAGCTAGCTAGCTACGGTACCATGTATCTGCTTGAGCTATCGGTAGCTCAAGGAACGTGGTAGTAAATCAGAGTTATTGGTGTTGAGTCATGAGTATCCGGGACTGAAGTTCGAAATCGACTGGACCACCAAAAGCGAATTCCTCACTTTTCTTTTTTGACTGACTTTAAAATAGCTCCACCATGGCCTACAGTCTCTCTAGTGTTTAATCAACATCTAAAAAGAAAAGGCTGTCTACACAGTTACTACTACTACATACAAGCCTTCAGGTACTCTTGAGGAGTGAAGGAACGGTGCTCTAGGAGCTCCGAATCGAGGAAGTAGACAACAGTGACATACGGCGATCGGCAACCTTCTCCGGTCCGAATCTCGCCAATCCGACCGTCTACAGGTAAGCCAAGGGTATCCACGTGTGCGCAGGAGTGCCGTGGATTGGCTACCACTCTCGAATAACAACAAAAGCCGGTATTGTAGCCGAAAACGACCGGTGAAAGCGCCATTGTCAGTCTTTTTCTTTCGTTTTCGATCGATCGAAGAAACTCGCTGACACCTGGTGAGTCCATTGAGTCAAATTGACTCATTTGACTCGAATCGAATCCATTGAATCGAATCGGAATTCCGATTCGAAAACGGGAATCAGTGACGTTTTTTGCTGACGTCATCCCGTGACATCATCACGTGACGTCATCGCGTGACGTCTTTTGCTGACGTCATCAGTGTCACATCAGACGTCCGAGTGACGTCATAGTGACGCGTCCAAGTATACCCAATAGGTGCGCATCGACGCGCTGGACTCATATCGAAGAACGATAACTTCGTTTGAGCAACGGTTGGAGATCTACGGCCTCTTTTGTCCGCAAGTTTCCAGCACAAGTCGTCCATCATGAGCAAGACCAGAGGCAACGGCTCTGGCAGGAGTGGGTCGACAAAGAAGAAGAACAACAACAGCAACAGCAACACGAGGCGGACGACGACAGTGGAGTACAAGTATGCACCCAACTCGTCCGGAAGGCAACAGTATGCGTCCTCCAAGCTGATCAGAGAGAAACTGAAACACGAGTGTGCGGAATATGAATACCCGCAAGACATTCAGTACGAGATTACAGAGTTGAAGACGATTCAACTTGACGAGCCAGAGTTGAAGTACTCCGAGGAGAAGAATGCGGAGAAGAAGGAACTCCAGAACAATGCATACGCAAAGAACTACGACTCCGAGATGAAAGA